CTCAGTGAAAACGGGCCATAACACCCATACAATCACCAACAATCCCAATCTCAATTAAACTTTTTACATTTATATAATATAAGTTTTTACATATTACATTTTATTTTAAAAAAGCATTTAATTAGCATTAAATAGCATTAAATCCTTTATTTCTTAAATCCCAAAAGAAACATTCAATTCTGTGGATGCTGTAATCAAGTGTTGAACAATGTTAAGTTTTCAACCTAGTTTGATGATTGTACATGTTTGATGATTGTACATGTGATAATGAGAACAGACCCATTTAATCAGACATTTCCACTTTTCTCATGAACTCTCATGTGGTTGTGCCGGTTTTGAGCAGCGTGAGGGTGAAATACCGGTGGCAGAATTTTGACTATGCCTTTATTTCCCCCCGCATGTGAGCAAAGGCTTTTCCTCACGCGTTTCAATCTTTCTTTTCTCTTTCACTCCCTTACTGGAGGTTCTGACAGTTGGTCGCAGTCCAGAGGAGCCGCTCAGCAGAACAATCGACTCCTTTCTCCTCTTTCACTCTCCCTCGCTCTTTCTTTCTCTCTCGCTCTCTTTAGGGTCTCGCTCACTCCAAGCGTCATGAACCGAGAGGCTTATGACACAGTTACCTCCTTCTCTTTTTCTCTCGTTTGGCTTGTTTTGTCTGGTGTTGTCACTGCGGCATTGAGGTCTTAAGGTTAATTGTTGTTTGTTTATTTTGGGCTTAGCTGCATTTAGTCTGGTTTTAAGGCCTGGTTCATGTGGAAGAGTCTTGATCTGTGTGTGTGTGCGTGTGTATGTGTGTGCGAGTGTGTCCCGCTCCAGCCTTGGCTGTAATGATGATGTACGATTTGCTGCGTTGGCACAGCCTCTTTGCTTAAAGAGATGTGAAGGGCGCTGGGATGCACTTTTCTGCTCTCCTCTTGTATAAATCTCCCAGGATGGGGGGTGTGAACCTTGCTGGATGTACTTGAATGCACACACATGCACACACACACACACACACACACACACACACACACACACACACACAGGCCTGCAGTAGCTCATATTAACTGTGTTTATAGTAAATTAGCACAGCTAATCAGTGTGACAGCACTACAGACAGAGGGACTGTGTGTGTGAGAGTGTGTGTGTGTGTGTGTGTTTTATTATGAGACTTCTGCTGTCTGCCAGTGTGAATAGTTCCATTATTCACAGCGATAGAATCAGAACGAGAGGAAGAAAGCATAAAGCACTTTTATATTTAGTTTGAGATGTTGCTGTATTTGTTACTCTGTTTAAAACTAATTTAAAAAGTCCACACGCTGCTGGAGGATAGTCTATTTTTTTTTTTCATGCTTCTGTGCATTTTAGCAGTACGGTAGAAGTGTGCGTGCGTGTGTGCGCGTGTGGGTATAATCTATATTCAGTGGAGTCAGTAGGTCTCCTCTTATCTTGCTGGTGATTCTCACTAACACTTATTAAAATTCAGCACTGCAGCAAATGGGTATAGAAATTGTTGGTGTGTGTGTGTTTCCAAAGCACTTTTGGAGAGATCACCGATTGTTAAAAATAGTTTGTCCCTCTCTCTTTTATCTTCCTCTTATTACACTTATTATTCTGTTTCTCTTTAATTCACACACAAAGACGCACACATTGTATCAAAGTAGGACAACGTCTTTAGTTTTTATACCCAATTCATTTTTATTTTCTCTAATGTAGCTGTAAATATAATCCTCACACAAACCTGCTTATTTACATTTTCATGAAACATTAAAAGTTATTTTATAAACTATACTTGTAAAAAACGGTTATATGGTGTCGGACAAAAAAAACACTCACATTTACTTGGCTAAGTAGAGAATTTTTGTTTTCTATCAGATTCAGTTTTGGTAAAGTGGCCTGACATGCATCCACTGTGAAATCTACAAAATAACTTCTAAAAATGTATATATATAGTGTATATATTTGTAAAATAGATTTTTTATGTAAGACTGGAATATGTCAATAAAAGAAATTTTTAAAAACTATATATACTTGCAAATGGTGCATTCATGTGTCAATGATAAACCTAAAGCGCAATTTGGCGCAATTTGTTGCTATTTTCAGAGCAATTTTCAACACCAATTTTTCCCTTTTGCGTTATGTTGTTTAAATAAAAAGTCCATTTGCGGCACTTTGTGGACCCATGGGTATGCAGGTCTATAAAGGAGGTGTGTTAAGGTGCATTGTTGGTGCGTTGCTGTTTTGAGGAACTGAAATAGACCGTGCCACTGACCAACTGAAAGCTAATCCAAAGTCCAGCACAGAGCACACTAGCTATGTGCCTATGCAGGTTCATGTATTCATTTGCTGGAAATTAAAACAAATTTAGAAATAGTTTTGAAACAAATCTTTTTACTTAAACGAAATTAAATATGTAGACTAATGGATGTCTTTAGTGGAGTGAATATCCACTATTTCTTTATCCACAAAAGTAAAGGGTTAAAGTAAAGAGTAAAAGTAAAGTAAAAAAAGCTGAATGGAGGAGGCTTATTTTTTATCCTCGCACTGCAGATGGTTTGTTCAACTGTTTTCTCACTAGTGAAGCATTTAGTTTTTCCACATACAAAGTCTGCCTTAACTTATTACAGTTTTTTCTGATTGTTTAAGCACAATTTTTCTTTTGCCAAATGGAACACTTCATCCAAAACCTTACAACAATATAGCAAAACACAATTTTAACCCCAAACAGAACACACACGCTTCATTCTATATACATCTGTTTGCTTCATTTACACACTGCTGTGATCAATCCTAAACACTCAAATCATTTTTAACTGACTAATACTGATATAATCAGAGTGTGAGAGATATTGCTATAAAGTACATGAGCATACTGTATTCACCAAACAGACTAAATATTGCCCTATTCTAACAAACCATACAACAACGTAAAGCTTATTTATTCAGCGTTCTGGTGATGTAAACATTTCAATGAAAAAAAAAAAATTCCATCCCCTGTCTCCTGTTTACCAATCTTCCTCACTTTCGTGCTTCCTCTTTCATACTGCAACATTGGCTTATTATTATTATTATTATTTGAAAATTAATATCATAATATAATAATAATATAATACGCACCTGTAAAACATTTTTATTGAAGACTACTATTTATAGCTCTACTACTGTAAACATGTTTGTTGAAGACTAATAGTTTATACCTATTGCTTTTTTCATTGTGGTTACAGCTGATTGGTGTGTCTACAGTTTTGCAGCCGTGTGTGTGCACACCTGATGGTTGTGTTTAACTCATGGTTCAGGTGTGTGTTCACTTGAAAGCCTTTGCTTTGAAGTTGCAAGAAAATACCATTATGAAAAATATCTGTGTCAAAAGCATCCGAATGTGTTTAGTAATTTGCAAATCATTGTGTGTAATGCTTTGCAAAAAGTGTGAAGCTGACAATGTGCTCACAGTTGTGCAGATCTAGCCTTGTATTTTGCTTCCTGAGTGTACGGTTTTGCTAACTGTGGGAAAAGTTTAAATTTAGTGTGTTAGCAATCATGAAAAACTGTAATATTTAATAAGTTAATTAGCAAAACCCTAATAGACCATGCGCTAGGGCGCAGAGCGTATTTTTCCATCATTAAAATAGCAAAAGTGGATTCGGACATGCCCTTATTGCTTTTGCGCCATAAGCTTTAGACTTTGTGCGTAGATTATTGAAATAGAGCCCAAAGGGTACATTTTCTCTTTTGCACTTTGGGTAGATTTCGCATTCAGACATAATTGTCAACAAAATGACAAAAAAAATTGTGTTATGCACTGCAAGGTCGCTTTGTAAAGAAACAATACCCATCTGCACACATATGGTCCTGTAGATCACCATTTTTGCTTTGGTTTGTGAAGTACTGGCATATTCCTATAGTATAATTGAACATGTAAGCCATGCATACTGTCACTGTTATTAGAAAGTCGTTTAGCATTTTGCAGATTCTGCAAATGTTATAAACCTTTGACCAAAGCTGCATGCACATGAAAATATAAACATCTGTTTTTACTAGCACCTGAACCTCATAAAGAGATTGAAGAAGAAACCAAAAGATGATCCCAGTTTCATTTTGGTGTGCGTTAGACAAAGGGGTGAAATATTAGAAGGGTGAATAAAAACAGGCAATCTTTTTGAAGTGTATGAAATACTGCACATATACATATACTACCCAAAATATGAGATATAGTGAGAACGTAAAAGCCAAGAAGTGTGTAATATTTCAAACTGTATTCGATTATCTGACTGTTTTGACTAAAAGCAAATGAGCTTCCTGTTTCAGCTTGAGGACCATATCAACAGTTTATCTGAGTGAAGTCTGAATGATATGTTTGAAAATGATACAGTATAGAGTCAGACAGCTCCTCTCCTCTAGTTTATCATTTCTTTCCCCTTCACATGCAGAATGTGACCTAGCAAAGAAAGCGCACACACACACATATTCACACAAAAGCGCATGGCAGCAATTAGATGTTGCTGGTCTCAAATGAGAGCTGGACGCTGTTCTGACCGAATAGATCTTGGCTCTCAGTGTAGCCATTCAATGAACCTGGACCAGAACCATCAAAAAAACCAAATGAAAGGCTCAAAAAGAATGACTGCTTCAAAACTCAGCTCTCTTTCTGTGTGTGTGTGTGTGTGTGTGTGTGTGTGTGTGTGTGTGTGTGTGTGTGTGTGTGTGTGTGTGTGTGTGCGTGTGTGCGTGTGTGCGTGTGCGTGTGTGTGTGTGTGTGTGTGTGTGTGTGTGTGTAAGAGAGAAATGGGATCAGATTTCTTCCTCCTTATCTTAGACAGGACAGTAGCTTTAGACCATCTGCTACTGAAATAAAAAGTGTATGAGTGTGTGTGACTGCATATCTGAAATAACATGGCTATTATCGGACTGGGTTATTGTAGGAGTGGGTGACAAAGGGGTCAGGAAAGATGGAACAGTGTCAATGAAAAGAAGATGAAAGGTCTATAAAAGTTTTTTTTTTTGTTTTTTGTTTTGGTGTTCAGCTTTCAGAGTAAAGAGGAAACTCCACATCTACAGCATCACTGTAACAACAAGCAGGACAACTGAGAGCCGTCACGGCAACAGCTGCCAGGACAACCAGCATCCCACTCCACCATCTGTGTGGCAGCTGTCTGCGCTTTTTAACTTAAAAAAAGTTTTGGTCCTCCTCCTCCTCTGAAGATGATGATGATGATGTGCTGCACACTGGTCCTGTTTGGACTCATCGGCATCAGCGCTTCATTGAGCGGAAGCTCACAATCCTCACCCCGGATGAAACTGTCTTATAAAGGTAGTGCACTATATCTAATGCCTGTTATTTTATTCTCAGGTTCAGTTTTATTTTTTCCTGAATTATTATTAATTTATTGCATATTACATTTTTTGTATTCAATATTTGTCCTTTTTTTCTAGACATTAATTTATTGGTAAAATACATTTTAGTAGTTAAGTAGTCCACTTTTGTCCACAATTGTCTACTATTTATGAAGATTTAATCAAAATGTACATTTTAGAAAGCCTGTTTTACATTTTCTTCACATTTAACTACAATTTAATTTTGATGTTGATCTGAAAATGCTTACCATGCTTTAACATGATAGGACTTCACAGTGGCTTAGTGGTTGCCAAGTTACCTCTCAGCAAAAAGGTCACTTGTTGCATGGAGTTTGTATGTTCTCCCTGTGTTTGTGTGGGTTTTCTCCGGGTGCTCCGGTTTCCCCAACAGACCAAAGACAAGCAGTATACTGTAGGTCACAGGTGTCAAACTCAGTTCCAAAAGGGCCGCAGCCCTGCACAGTTTAGTTCCAACCCTAATTAAACACACCTGATCAAACTAATTGAGTCCTTCAGGCTTGTTTGAAACCTACAGGTAAGTATGTTGGAGCAGGGTTGGAACTAAACTGTGCAGGGCCCTCCAGGAATTGAGTTTGACACCCCTGCTGTAGGTTAATTGGATAAACTAAATTGGCCGAAGTTCTGGTAAAGCAGGAAAGTGAGTGAGTGTTCCATTAATGTGGTAATAGCTTTTTTTTTTTTTTTTTTTTTTTTATAAAATGCAGATAAAGTGATTCTCTGATTGGTTCTGGCAATAAAGTGTTTATGTGCTCAAATAGTAAGATAGCAGAGGCTGACAACATCATGAGCACTGCGCCAAACCAAAATCCATCATTCATTTTAGACATGGGACGATAACAGTTTTCAAGGTATACCGTGGTTTGAAAAAGTAAAGTTTTTAAAACTGCCAAAATTTTCTGTTATACCGTTCCTAAAGTACAATATATGTAGGACGATGCTGCTTTAAATTGTAATAAAAATCTGTGTTTTTGAAACTAATGAAGACAGCAGGAGTCAATGATTCATTTCATTCATAGATTGTGTTCAAAGGGGGGGAAAGCTTTTATTTTTTACCCAGATATTTAAAAAGAACATTTTAGAGCAGTAATTACAATACCATATAACCATTATATTTTTATCCAAGGGTATCATACCATCAGAATCATATACCGGCCCATGCCTAATTCATTTCCCCCTTTTTTAAAAATACAGACTTTTCAGGAAAATTACCAGTACATTGCAGTGAAGAAGTCATATGTATACAGGCTCTTTTTATAAAAATACCAAAACTCTGCTGTGTATAAATAGTTCATTTCTATACTGGTAATATTGTTCCAGTGATTTTATAGCAATTTTACAGTATTACTATGTTGAATGAATAATTCACAATGACATAAAGAACATGCAGATCTCATATTTAAAGACTTTGGTTAAACTTAGACTTGTTTGGTTTGATAATAGTCAATAGTCCACATTGTGATTTGATTAGTTGTGTACAACACAACTATTTTTATTACTTCTACTACTACAACTACTACTTTTAATGAATCATTCATCTAAAATTTGCCAAATTCTCTGATATTCCTCACTAATTCTTTTTTAATTCTGGATTCAGTGATTCAATCCATGTTTTTTGCATTGTGGACGTCTTAGGGGCCTATAAAAGTGCTGAATAAAGCACTTTGCAATGTCTGTTTTGAATTGTCTGTTTTAAATGCTTTGTGTTTTTGCACACTCTGTAGATCTTCAGCAGTTTAATGGCATTAAGCGGTTTGACTTGGAGCGTTCGTGTTCTTTCGGAGCTCTGCTATTGGACGAAGAGAGGGGGCGACTGTTTGTTGGAGCTCGAAACTTTCTGCTATCTCTGAGTCTCGACAACATCAGCAAACAGGAACAGAAGGTACAGTACACTTCTTACTCTCTCCCTCTTCGTTTCCTTCATCCATAATGTAAGAGTGAAAGGAAGCATCTTCTCTTCAGTTTGTCTGTCATCGTCTAATTAAGTTTTAAACAAAGGTGTAACCCTGTCAGTCATAACTCATTCGTATACAGGATAAGCACCTGGGGACGATCCACCAAGAAGTTCTGTCTCTTTTTTTATTTTTTTTTTTAGGATTGGCTGACTATAGCTACTAGTCATTATTAACGTCCTACAATATAACTGTATACTTACTGTATGTGGCATAAACTTTTTAATATATATAAATGTATATACTATTAAGATTGGTACAGTATAACATGATACATGTTCATATGTAAATTATATATTTTATATATTAAAATATTCTACAAATATAATGAAATATTTTATACCACAAAAAAATATTGTATATTCCTTCATTTTCTTGTTGGCTTAGTCCCTTTATTAATTCGGGGACGCCACAGCGGAATGAATCGGCAACTTATCCAGAGGATTGCGAGTTCACAAACGCATTAAAATCCATAAACAAAGCAGCACACATCAGGTTTTCAACATGGTTTTAGACGCGTTATGAGATTACAAAGAGTTAACCAGATACAGTACAAGCGGTTACGGCCAGGGGTTTCAAATTTACCGGGTCTGCGCGTGCAAAAAAATGGGCGGGGCTTGAGTTTTATATCGCAGTCACGCCGGCACGGCTAAAGACTTGTTACTGCGGCGATTTATTCGAACCACTATGAGTCGACTCTTTTATAGATGAACCAATAGTTTTAAACATGGTGCACTTTCAGATTTACGCCTTAGCTGGATATTTCACTTCACTCAGTGCTGTGTTACACTCTGTATGGAAGGTCATTTTCAAATACCCATAATAGGGGCTCTTTAAACATCATAATAATCGTTTTTTATTTATTCATCTTATTAAAATTATTGCAAAAAATGTATTTTAATTAAAAAAATACTGCACATAATATCTGTTGTTGCAGTGCGTATCATTTGAAAATGTTGTACAGTACATTATATTGTACATGTGTATATTATACATTGACTTTTTTGTACTTTACTGCTACTGTATCATCAAATATAATCTTGAAAAATACATTCATTAAACATTTTACTTAAAATTGTATATAATTTATCCTAAAATTATTTCAAAAATACTAATAAATGTAGGGTGCAAACTACTAATAAATACGAAATATTAACATCAGTGAAACAGAAATCTGTAGTTAAAAGTGTTATTCTTTATTTGTGTGTGACTGCAAAGCCTGTTTATGTCCCTCCTTGAATCCCTCTAATATTATTATATGCATAATACATTTACTGTATTTTAATGAAATAACCCAGAGCCAAAACTTACCCTGGTTTAAACTATTAACAAGTAAAAGGATCAAACAATTAGATGTTTTATAACCCATTTATGTTTGTATTTTAAGCTAATAGCATGGGACTAGATTGCATTTGATTTTGCGAGAGAAACAAAAAGGAAGCTTCAGCATTTATCATGTGTAAAGTTAATCAGCCTTTAAAGTCACGCCAGATGATTAACAGTGGTTCAGGCCAACATGCCGATGACAGATTGATGGATTTTTATTTCTTCAGGAAGGAAAGAGAAGGAATGACGAGTTAGAGTTGTCGGTCACTGTGTTCTGGCTTTAGACACACACAGGTGTGGTTTAAGGCTGGATGTGTCCGGATGTGTGTGCATGAGAGAATGTCCCTCAAGCTAGTGAACACGTCTAACCCTGCAGTGTCCAAAACTTCTGCTCACCTCTGAACTCCTCTTTCTTTCTCAGATCTACTGGCCAGCGCCTGTCGACTGGAGAGAAGAGTGCAACTGGGCCGGGAAAGACATCAATGTAAGTTTCTGCAATAATCAGATCTTGTGGTCACCAACACGCCCTGGTTTACACACTTATCAGGACCATCTCTTCTATGAGGTGTTTACACACAAACACACACTCGGGCAATTAGCACTGTTATCACAAGCAGCTCTCCCAATCGGCTCCATCACTTACAGATGCAAACCAGTGTTGAGCCAAAGTTATCTGTCAGGGGCAATGAACATAGATACTGAATGTTCTTTAAAAGATTTGTTTTTCATTATATTATAATTTTAGCATCAATATCGCAATGTGCACATCCACAATAGCCACATCGCAAGATCTGAAATGTTAAGTCTGAATTATAGTTGACCAGGAACCACAGAATTGTATTTAATTACTGTATTTATATGGATTTTATGCGATTTATGCAAAAAAAAAACTAATAAAAATAAAATATTTTTTCTCACTTATAATTTTTGTCTTGTTTCTAATCCAAATAGCTATATTTCGAAGCGAAAACAAGATTATTTTATATTCCCCTCTGGCAGATCATTTGCTTGTTTTAAGGAAAAACTCAATTTTAACTTATAAAACTTAATTTTGACTTTTTTTTTTTAAGTTGAAAACAAAACAAATTTTTTTGTACTTGATCTAAGAATTTGTAGATATTTGGGGTAGAGAAAAGACGAAGCAAAGTAAAAAAGAACATTTTTTGCATTGTGATTATTCAATTTCTGTACCTGAATACTGTTAGACTCCACAGAACATCATCAAATAGTGCTATTCAAACCATCTTGTGAAACTGTATTCATATCGCAATATTTATCGCAGAAAAATGAAATATCGTAATATCAAAGTCACATTGTTCACAGAAATTGTACAGTCCTCATTTGCATGTGTGTGTTTGTGCTTATATATATATATATATAAATAATAATAATAATAATAATAATAATAATAATAATAGTAATAATAATAATAATAATATGTGCAGGTCTACTGTAGGTGTAATGCAAAATTTTGAAAAGACTTTGAATGGTGGACTTGAACAGACTTTAAATATGTCCAGTTTGTTAATGTACAGTAATGTGATGACACCGGAATACAACTATTCATAATTCTGAAGTTGAATTATTATGTTTCAGACATATGCTTGTTGTTTGTCATTGACAACATTATTAGACCATTTTTTCTGCTGGTAAAATCAGACATTTGCCATTATTAGATTCTCTCTTGCATTAAATTCAACATTATATGGGCTAGAGTAGTTATACTGACACTGTTCAACCTTTATTCTCATGCACAACATTCTGTTAAAAAGAAAAACATTAAATGCTTGTCACAATCATAACTTTGAAATGCAATATGATTATTGAAATGATGTGCACGGTTCAGTTTCATTTTCATTCTTCCCATGCTTCCAAATGATCGCTCTGTACCCCAAACTGAATGTTATTCACAACTTTATTAGCTGTTATTCACAGCCTATGCAGGTTCTGTTCACTAAAGTAGACTTCATTCAAAGGTGCGCGTCCGCCGTCTCTGTGGTAACAGCTTGTGGTCAGCTCACGTCACGTGTGATTTTGTGGCCGCGAATACGTCATCACATGAAAACATGAATTACATTTTTTGGGTGAATTTTACCTTAGAAATACAGCATGTGACTCTTTTAACACCATTTAGAGGTGTCCACGTTGTAACAAGAATCGAATGAAAAACAGTGTTCAGACTTGTAAACACTGTATATACAGTTTTTTTTTTTTCATTTAACTTAAAATTCACCTACAAAGACTTAAAATTAGCATTTTTCTTAGGCCCTTGTCTGTAGATTCATGTTTATATCGATGAATGATTAACATGAACATAGGAGCCTTAGAAAAATGATCATTTACGAAGAGGATTTCAGACAGCTTTTGCATGTGAACTCTTCAAATATATTTGTGGAATTTGTACAAAACATCATACATCAAACTTATTGTAAGTGTTGTATACTATTTTACAGTTTAACTTTAATACTTATGTGTTGTAACACAACAAAGGGTCATAGTTAGTGTAAGTTGTATTGTGTTTTATCTGGAGCGTTAAGCGGATATGTGTGGGATGTTTCTTGGACACTCTGTTTTTATTCTAAAGGGTGTGCAAGATTGTGCAACTTCAAAATTTGTGTGTGTGCGTGTGTGTTTTTGGTTCATTCTGCGGTGGGTAACATACTGAAGTCAGCTGACAATAAGATCTGTCTCACACACATACACACACACACACAGAGACACAGACTTTGTTCAGTGCGCTGACCTGTGAGTTGACCCTCATTACATGTAGGTGTGTACAGGACGGCAGGGACAGACTAGACCTCCATGAATAAGACTTAAGATTTTCCCTAAGACTCTCCCCCTGACCTTTCACTTTCTCCTTTGTTCAGTCTCTCAGTCTGATCTCCTGATTTGTCATTCAGTATTGTTTTCATTTGACTCTATTCCCTTCATCTCAGTCTCTGTCTTTCAGTGCTTTATGTTTCTGTCTTACGGTCTCTGTCATAGAAGCACAGTTCAAAGTGACCACATCTGTTGGGTCAGCAGAAAAATTCAAATGTTAATTTATTCATCCTCAGCTCATCCAAGATGCAGGTCATTTTCTTTACTCAGTGAAATCATCATCGTCATCTTGATTGTTTTTTTTTTTTGTTTTTTTTTAGAAATGATTCATAAAATAAAAAGTCAATGGCTAATGGCACATTGTAAAAAAAAAAAAAAAAAGCACTTACAGCAAAACCAAATTAAGACCAAATTTAGACATGTCTTCCTTTTGTGGAAAATGCATTTCGATATTAAGATCTTCTAAAATGTCAGTGATTCTCCTTTTGTTTTTTTTACAATTTTCATTTATTGTTTGGGTTTTTGCATTACATATTCATTACACCACCATTGGTCGGTTATGTACGTATGCAAACATTGGTCAGTGCATCTGAATTCCTCAAATCCATATAAAAGAAAAGCATGGGAGCAGCAGCTTTTACCTGCTAGTGTCCACAGTGGGTTCCTGAGTAGCATGAAAGTGAAATAATAATTTTTTAGCTGGTATTTTAGTTTACTTAGTTTACCTATTAAAAATAAAACTGAAATATGGTCACTCTATTTAAAGCAACTCGGTCTGTGCTAAAAGCATAACATTATTTAGAATGTAATTTCATTTAATCCATTGTCTTTAATTAAAGTATGTAACTAGAAGCTCCAAAACTGTCGTCAATATCATGTCATGAATCCACCATAGTGTATTGTCTGGACTCACACATTAATTTTGTTTTGCCTGTATATGTGTTTTTGCCAAAAGCTGCTTTGAAAGTAACATTTAATATGGTTGTTATGTGTGTACCCCTGAGAATCATTGTAGATGAATCACTGAGAAGTATGAGTTAGAGAACCAAATCAGTTATATTTATGAGTGAATATTTTAGGATGCTTTTAAACTAAGACGTTAGTTTTGGAACCTGTCTCGTTTGCCTGGTTAGTGCGGTTCGTTTGGCATATGTAAAATCTGCAATCGCGCTCAGATCCACGCCAAAAAACCATTTGGTCTGAGATCACCTGAATTAGGTTGGTCTCTCAGCTCAATTCATGGTTGTGTAATAGCCATATGTATATACGGATATTTGAAGAGAGAATTATATGTATTGTGGGATGCCATTTCTACCGATAAATGTGTGTTTTATGTTGAATACGGAAGTGAAAGCATGCCGAAATATCAAGAGAGCTGTTTAACTGTTTGACCGAAATTACCATCTGATAATTATGCCATATTTTAATCTTATAATATTTTGTATTTGTCATATTATTTTGCTCATTTCACCTCAAAAGAAAGAGTCTTGGTTCAACTGTTATTTCTCTCTATACTTTAAGCCTATGATGCATAATTTTTAAAAGTTTTTTTAATTGATAGACTGATTGAATATATAGATTTTTACAAAACTTGACAACTGAAAAGAGGCTGTGTATGAGAAAGTCTTACCTCTCTGATTTAGAACAATTTGGTGACGATGTCTGTGGGTGTTATAATAAAAGTGTACCTTATCACTTATGTCTTATTGCTTATGATAAATTAAAATAACGATGTGACAGCTCAGCGGAATCCATGGGACTCTGAAAAGTTGACCAATGTGAGGAGTGTCTATTCGCACATGACTTGTTTTAACTATTCTGGTCTGTTTAGAAACTTTGCCGTGTGAAAACGAACCTTATTGAAAAAAAAAAAAAACATTGTAACAATTTTAATTCCTCTTTCGGAATAAAACAATCAGTCCACAGGTGTAAAAGCACCCTTAGTCAGATTTTTTTGTATCTGATCAACATCATCTGCATGAATCACACTAATTAAATCTTATCAGATTAAATTAGTTAAACTGATCCCACTTCAGTTTATGAGTGAACAGCATAGTAGAGAGGAAGAGTATGTGTTGAGATAATTCAGAGTTAAATCTAAAATTACAATGTTTTTAAAAATCAGTGCTTTATTTTTAAATGTGATTCAGGCTACTTGTAGAGAATCACACAGTGGTAAGGCTAATAAAAGGTCAAAGTTGAAAGTTCACTGCACGTGTATCAGCAGGAAATTGACACACATATACAGCTTATTCCTCCTGAGACACATTGTTTATTTTAAAGCTCTTTTTCTTTTGTTCTGCGGTCTGTCTCTTTCTTTCTCTGTCTTTCTTTCTGTCTTTTTTCTTCTTTTCTCGTGGGCTCACTTCAAAGAGCCCATCAGCACACACACAAATACACATGCTCACACACACACTCATAACATGTCCTTTCCTTATTGAAGGGTGTAAAGCTCTCGAAACAGTAGTCTTAGTGTGTGTGTGTGTGTGTGTGTGTGTGTGTGTGTGTGTGTGTGTGTGTGTGTGTGTGTGTGTGTATGAGAGGTAGAGAGAAAGGCAGAGACCCCTTCCTGTATAAACACAGTTTGTCAGCAACTTAATTGGTCTTCGATGATTCTATTCCGCCACCCCCACCATACAACACACACATACACACTCACTCTTCACAGGGTGCGTTAAGCTCAAAGAGAGGCCTTTGTTCTCCACAAGCCCCTGTATGTGTGTGTCTGTGTGCAGGGTTTAAGCATGGCAGGAGGGCACATGTCAATCACATCTTTCTGCAGAGGTAGCAGAAAGGTTACAAAACACATACTCACCCATACTATTCAAGAAAATTATGCTGCCAACTAAAGCCAAAAATATGCTTGGTTTTATAAGGCTAAGGTATAGTACAGACATATGGTGAATATTTCATGATCAGTATGTGTAGCTGGATTTTTCGAACTGTGTGTTTAATGTACGCACGTGCTTTGAATTGATAGTTGATTTATAGTACTTAGTCCACAAGGTGGCAACACTGAACAACCCGGAAAATCATCCAGAGGGATTTTATTTCTTGGAGATCAAGCCCGGTGGATAGTTGCTGTAACAGGGTTCCTAAAACTACCCGATGTAAAAGACCTCTAAACAGGCAGAACAAGAACAACAAAGAATTACTGAAAAAAACTGTTAAAAAAAAAGTAGATGTCCATGTTGATGAGTGCATGTGTGAGGGAATTAAAAGATCTTTAAATAAATATAGGTGTGATTTACTCTTATCTCCTCACAAAATCTAAATTCAGTGACAAAGTCGAAACAACAATGGGAAACTGAACTTTGATTTTCTCAGAGAAAGTTTGGCAAGACATTATAAATAAGATCACTCAACTAAACTGTTTATTTGTATTCACACACACACACACACACACACACACACACACACACACACACACACACACACACACACACGCACACACACACACACACACACAAACACACATACACACAAACAATTAAACAAACAAACAAACAAACAAACACATACACACACAAACACAGAAGATGAGTGAACATATAGGTAATTTTATCTTCTTGTATTGTATGAATGTATATATCATGAGATGATGTAAAATAGATTAGGAAAGTGCATAAAATATTGTATAGAAATGGTGCAGTGGGGCGGGGGGCTCTGTTGGAGCAACGATCATTTTTTCAAATTGTTGTTTAATTAAACAAAATGTTAATAAAAAATCTGAAAAACAAGATCTTTAAATAAGTACTGAGGCACATTACCAATCATAACTTCTAGACAGAAAAACTGCAAATGTTTGACAATAAACTCTTTCTAGTGCTCATGTGTTGAGCACCTGTGAGCACCTTGTGGTTCTACTTGATAAGACCCAGTCTGAGGTGGATTCTAACTGGTTTTCAAGAGTTCACACGTAGCTGATGCCTAATAAGGTAAATGCGTGTTTGGCATGCTGTCCTGATAGACAGCCCTGAGCTCGGAGGATAGTCTGGGCTCAGGTAGGTCTTGAGAACCTGTTATTTAGCTAGAAAAAGAGGGGAAGGAGTCAGGGTGGGTGGGGGGAATCTTCAAAAATTAGAGATGACTGAGGTAAGCTAGAGCAGACTATTTAGGTGTGTTTGAATTTATCTAATTGGTTGGTCATGTGATTGTTAATGCGAGACCAGCCAAGGTCAATCATAAGCAAGTGATCCTCTCGAAATTGGTTTAGAAAACATTACCAATTGGAAGGAATACCTTTATTAGGATAAGACTAGACAGATTACAGACAGGAAAACATTGGGAGCAGAGAGAGAGGGAAAAGATCGACAAAGAACCTCAAGTTGGGAGTCAGACCCGGGTCAACATTGCTATATGTTGGCGCACTTAACCACCAGACTATTGGCGGCGACAAGACTGCAGCCTTTAATGTGTTTCTTTAGAAGAGGGGAGTGAGGTTTACTCACACAGCTCTTAGTAGCTCCATTTACTCATCCCTATAAACCTCAGTCCCATCCGGGTCACCACACCTCTGGTTGTACTTGACCCTCTCCAAGTGGGATTTGAACTGGCAACACCAGCATGGGAGGTGGGTTAATTTACAAATATGTTAAGACTGCAGCTTTAGCCATCTGTCACTTGTGCCCCATTATAGATCAAAAGAATGAGGGTTACTTATTAAGCCCTGGTCTCCATGGCATATTAATAAAAAAGAAGTTTACTTGAATCTTAAGATACCATTTTGGGGGGACATGGTATCATCCCAGATTGCTGTGCGATGACTCAAATATGGTGGGTGAAATGCAGGTTATACATTTACTGCATTCAGCAATATTGCCCTGTTCTATGTATACTAAGAGAAGATTGATTCAAATAATTTTGATCTGAATATCTTTAGGATGGTATTTTATGGATCAGTGTCACATTGTCCACAGAAACTTAAAGGAGATGTCTGATGTTTGAATTTGAGTATGTGTGTTTCTTGAGCACATTTAAACAGATGTTCAGTTCAGGGTTCAAACTGCTGGTGAAAGCCCACGAGAAGATGGAGTGAGGCATGATCGCAGTCTAAACAACATCTGCTACTGAAACTGAAGAGAACAACAGAAAAAGACCCTCCATTTTTCTCTTCTTTTCTCTGGATGTCTCATCTCATCTCAACTCTTCTGTGTTCTGTTGTTTGTGAACATATTTTCACTGGTTTACACTTGTTGAGTTTTCTTGAATCTTCTCTCTAGTCTTGTCTTCTGTAGTTGTTCTTGTCTTTGGTTGTCTTTTCCTGACTTAAAATGTCTGTTCTTATCTGAAGTCTTTTCTTCCCTTCATTTTCTTCTTTGCTGTAATTCAAACTTTTCAACTGTATATTGTTGACTCTGTCATCCTCGATCACGTCTTCTTGTTATAAGTTGTTTCTTGGCTTTTTTTCCCTTATTATCGCAACTTCCATCTTCTAGTATAGTCTGTTGCCTTTTTATATTTTCTTTGTGTCTTAGTGTTCCTACTTGATTAATCTGGTCTTACTTATGCTCATCTTGACAAGTTTTTTTTTTTTTTTTGTCTTTAGACATCTTGTGCCTGGTTTTTTTCTTCTCGACTAGACTTACTCTGGTCTCATCTTGTCCATCTAAAGTTGCCTCTTCTCCTTTCTTCTCAAGGCATCTCAACTTTGGTCTTCTTATATTGTCTTTGTATCTTATTATTTTTACTTAATTAGTCTGGTCTCAGTTATGGTCATCTTGAGATGCTTCTTTTCTTGTTGCCTCTGGACATTTTGTCTCTGGTTGTCTCTTCTTGACTTGACTTGCTCTGGTCTCATCTTTAGTTTTTTTCATCTTGTCCATCTAAAGTTGCCTCTTCTCCACCCTTCTCAAGGCATCTCAACTTTGGTTTTCTCATCTTGTCTCCACTAGTTTCATCCTTTGTCTCCCCATCTCTTTTTATCTCACCTAGTCTCTAATCTTGTTATTTTTGGTCAAATTATTGCTTGTCTTCTCTTGAATTATTTCTGGTGGACTCCTTTTTCTTCTTCACTTCACGTTTCATATTGTCTTGTCTCTTCAAGTCTTCAAGTGTCTTGTCTATTTTCTACTTGCTGACCCATTGATATGTCATCTCAGTATTCATTCATTCAATAAAGGCTTAGTCCCTTTATTATCCAGCATGTTTTTGCGCAGTTTTTTCACAAGTTTTTTCCACAACCCATCTCTGGGAAACATCCACACACACTCATACACTACGGCCAATTTAGCCTACCCAATTTACCTGTACCGCATGTCTTTGGACTGTGGGGAAAACCGGAGCACCCGGAGGAAACCCACGTGAGCTCAGGGAGAACATGCAAACTCCACACAGAAATGCCAACTGAGCTGAGGTTCAAACCAGCAACCTTCTTGCTGTGAGGCGACAGCACTACCTACTGCGCCACTGCATCGCCTCATTTCAGAATCCTTTTGTTTAATCTCATCACAGATCTTCTCTGGTTATCTCTCACTAATCATCTCTTCGTCTAATCTTTCCTTTTACTACCCTTGCCTACTCTTCTCATCTCATGTTGTCTTTTCTGTTCTACATTCCTCTGTTTGGCTTCATCCCTGCATCCTCTCTGTCTACCCTGGAATCCGGATGTTCCCGCTCCCACATGTTGTCGTAGTGATTCCCAGCTCTCTGGGAAATGTGGCACGCTCCAGCGAGCACATTCACAAAGGAAAAGAGAAACAGAGAGACTATAGGTGTCCATGTGTGTAAGTGTCAATTGAAAATGTCTTTGTTTTCATGCGTCAAAGAGAAAGTGCGAAAGATTACAGAGAGATCCGGGATCACAGTGTGCATGGAAAGGTCAGCACTCATGTCGTCAAGGATACATAATATAATAACGTTTCGTTTCTGATTTGCCCTGTAAAAGATCCCTCAAGAGACAACTCATGTGCTTGTGTGTTTCTGTTTTTGTATGTCTGGTCACTGATAGTCAATCCAGATGGGGACCGTCTCTCTCTCTCTCTCTCTTTGACAGATAAACTGGGGAAAGCATGTAAAATATGTCCTGCATAAAATTGATTTGTGCATGTGTGTGTGTGTGTGTGTTGCAGACGGATTGCGTAAACTATGTGAAAGTGCTACACCACTATAATCGAACTCACCTATACGCCTGTGGTACGGGGGCTTTCCACCCCACCTGTGCTTATGTGGAGGTGGGACAGAAAATGGAGGTAAGTTTGTGTGTTTGGGGGTACTGTATATGATTGAGCTTGTGTGAAATCCAGTCCTGTTTGGTTTTGCATGGCCAAACACAATGCTAAAGTTTGCTTTTGCTCCACAGGATCATGTATTTAGAATCGATCCCTCTCTTGTAGAAGATGGAAAAGGGAAGAGTCCATATGACCCACGTCACACATCAGCTTCTGTTCTGATTGGTAAGATGCCACCCTTTATCTTTCTATTGCTTATATAAACAATCCAGAAAATGTTTAAAATACATCTAATTGAGCAAACATAGACATCTTAACCAAAACTAAACTGAATTTGATCAGTGAAAATCTAATCTAAAATTGCTTGGTTGGAATGCTGATACGTCATGACCAATCAGTAACCTTCTCTCTGTCATCATTTAGGTGATGAGCTTTATGCAGGTGTGGCCACTGATTTGATGGGACGCGACTTTACAATCTTTCGCAGTATGGGACAAAAACCCTCCATACGGACTGAACAGCACGATTCTCGGTGGCTCAATGGTGCGTTTGTTCACCAAAGGGTGTCTTTTTCAGTTTGTTTATGTCTGTTAAAATGACTTGATTCTATAATGCAGAATTTTATTATGTTATTATTTATTAATAATTAACTATTATTATATTTTTTAATCATTTGTGAAAATATATATAAGTGTTTATAACAATACTGTATCCACATTGGAATGATAGGAATAATAAAAGGAAAGTGGTAATGATAAATTGAGCATGCATCTGACATTAATTTTAAATTAGGGTAATACTTGATATATGAGTACATTATTATGCGTGTATTCATGCACACATTTATAATACAACATCATTGCATAATGATTTCTTTGCAAAACATTCACTACATAAATTTCTATCAATAAGCTAAAATACATGGTATTGCCTATGGTATTCATTGTATACAGTTAAAATTATGTTGCAACATCAATACATTCATGACACATTTAATTAATAGCAGTTCATAAATGTATTTGTTGCTAGTGCAGTAGTCGTTAATTAATGCTTGATTAATATATTAACTCATGAGTTCAGCATGATCTAGTGCTCCTACAGTCTTACCTAAATAAATAAATAAATATATAACTTTTATTTTTATTTTCCTTATCTTGCAAACACTTATTTGTCTCTGAATCATTTATTTGGATATTTATCTGTTGTTGTATAATGCCAATAAGACCTGTAAATGATGCTGTGTGTTTCAGAGCCCAAGTTTATTGCAGCATTTGGTGTTCCTGAGAGTGATAACCCTGACGACGATAAAGTCTTCTTCTTCTTCAGGGAAACTGCTGTAGAAGCTCAGGGATTTGGGAAGGTTACTTATTCCCGGATTGGTCAGCTCTGCAGGGTAAGGAACCAATGACTTACCCGGACTGTTTAGTTAGTGTCTAGTGGCTACTGTTTGTTCATCAATTTGATTTGTGTTGTTTTTTTTTTGTACCAGAATGATATGGGAGGACAGCGCAGTCTAGTAAACAAGTGGACAACATTTCTAAAGGCTCGTCTTGTGTGTTCTGTACCAGGCAATGATGGCACTGAAACGCATTTTGATGAACTCCGTAAGAAGGCGCACAAACACGCACAGACACACTAGAGTTAAATTACGCTGATATTGTACAACTGACAATCCAACTGACAATCTGACCTTTGTCTGGGCCCTCAGGGGACGTTTTCTTACTGCAGACCCGTGACAAAAAGAACCCGCTTATCTACACCGTCTTTACCACCTCCAGGTCAGAGTTCATCTAAGGGTGTGGTTTAAAAAGCTTTTACCATTAAAATCTCTATTGGTTCACTAACCTTCATGTCATGACTTCTTTATTTTGTGGGTGAAATATTAAAATCTTAATGTTTGAAAAATGTCAATACATAATGTTTTTGTCAAACAGAAATGACATGATGAGTTATTTTTTTGGAAACTGTGGAAACTTTTGAGTTTAATAATGAATTATTAAAATATAATGAATTGTTTAATGAATTGTTTAAAATAATTTTAATTTACTTTTCTTTTTTCCTTTTTTTTCTTTTTTACATATTTTAAACATAAAATGATAATGTGACGTGAATTCAGATAAACTGGGCATTTATGTGAGGACCAAAGTAGTACAAAATATTTGCATTCAGCATTTCTATGATTTTTATTTTTATCTCTCAGTATTGTAACGTTTTAACGCCCAGTGTGTGTGTATGTGTGTGTGTTTTGTGTCTTACAGTAGTGTATTTCAAGGTTCTGCAGTGTGTCTCTATACTATGAACGACATTCGCCGAGCATTTTTAGGACCTTTTGCCCATAAAGAGGGACCCAATTACCAGTGGATTCCATTCCAGGGTAAAGTGCCTTACCCACGGCCAGGCATGGTATGATAAGATGCTCTAGATCTCACATCATACACACCTGTAAAAAGTTTTTAAAATCTTTAATACACACTACCTGACAAAAGTCTTGTTGTCGATCCCAGTGGTAAGAGTAACAAAGAATAACTTGACTTCTAGTGGATCATTTGGAAAAGTGACAGAAGATATATTTTAATAATGTCTAATAAATCTGTTAAACTGCATCAATCATCACAAATACAGCAGAAGACCTATTGGAACCAGCATGGACTCAAGATTCTCACAGAAATCAGTCAAGTTTTGTGAAGGAAAAATCATGGTTTGGGGTTACATTCAGTATGTGGGCGTGTGAGAGGGTGGATGGCAACATCAACAGCCTGAGGTATCAAGACATTTGTGCTGCTCATTAAATTACAAACCACAAGAGAGGGCAAATTCTTTAGCAGGACAGAGCTCCTTCTTATACTTCAGCCTCCACATCAAAGTTCCTGAAAGCAAAGAAGGTCAAGGTCACAAAATGAATTCTGCTTCCACTGCACCATGAATTTATATTCAATACTGTATATTTATTTAATAATATAAGTGGCAAAACATTTGTCTAAGCAAAGTTAGACCTTATTATCCTAATTAACCAAAAACCAGGATGTGATTATAATTTATTTTGTTAAAATAAGCGTAATCTAGAAGCCTTTGCCTTTTAAATAACCCACTTCTGATACCAACTAGAAGTCAAGTTATTATTTGTTGTTCCTACAAACTTAAACTTTTACAACAAGAATTTTACCAGGTTGTGTACAGTTAAAAAAAAAATACATATACATATATATATATATATATATATATATATATATATATATATATATATATATATATATATATATATATATATACAGTTGAAGTCAGAATTATTAGCCCCCCTGTTTATTTTTTTCCCCGTTTTCTGTTTAACAGAGGGCAGATTTTTTTTTTCAGCACATTTCTAAACAGTTTTAATACTCATTTCTAATAACTGATTTATTTTATCTTTGCCATGATGACAGTAAATAATATTTGACTAAATATTTTTCAAGACACTTCTATACAGTTAAAAGTGACATTTAAAGACTTAACTAAGTTAATTTGGTTAACTGGGCAGGTAAGGGTAATTAGGCAAGTTATTGTATAATGATGGTTTGTTCTGTAGACCATCAAATAAAAATTTACCTTAAAGGGGCTAATAATTTTGTCCTTAAAATGGTGTTTAAAAAATTAATAACTGCTTTTATTTTAGCCGAAATAAAACAAATAAGACTTTCTCCAGAAGAAAAAAATATGATCAGACGTACTGTGAAAATTTCCTTGCTCTTTTAAACATCATTTAGCAAATATTTTAAAAAGAGAAAAAAATCAAAGGGGGGCTAATAATTCTGACTTCAACTGTATATATTTTTAAAATAATTATTAATAATAAGTGTGTTGTAATATTTATAATTATTGGTTCATTATGGGAAAAACCCTGTGTAAGTGGTAGTCTAACATATTAAAGCATCAAAGTCATCAGTGCGTTTTCACACAGTTTGAATGTTAAAGTAAAAGTGCATTTAGATTCAATATTAACTGGTTAAATGTTTGAACTTGCTGACCTGTGTCACATGTTGATATCATGAGCGGATTATGTTTCCGGAATCTACAGATACAGTATCTCTCTCTCTCTGTCTCTCCCTCTTCCTCAGTGTCCCAGTAAGACCTTCGGCAGTTTCGAGTCCACCAAAGGTTTTCCTGATAACGTAATCCAGTTTGCACGGCACCATCCGCTAATGTTTAATCCAGTGACTCCTCTGGGTGGCCGACCGCTGTTCCTGCGCACCGGTATCCCATACACCTTCACTCAGATTACTGTAGACAGAGTCAATGCAGCCGACGGACACTATGATGTCATGTTCATCGGCACAGGTACAGTATTGACTGAATATTGAAGAGTGTGTGTTTAGAGGAAGAATACGACTCAGGTTAAAGTCTCTCTGTTTTTTTTTCCTGCAGATGTGGGCTCTGTGCTGAAGGTGATCTCGGTGCCCAAGGGAAGCTGGAGCAACACTGAGCTGCTGCTGGAGGAGCTGCACGTCTTTAAGGTGAACACAAAAATGTGTGGCTTTTATTTAGAGGGATAACATAAACTAAAACTCAATATAGTCAAGTACTCATGTAGAGATAAATTGTATTTCAATGAGGTTTCACACTTTTACAGTGTTCTTGAAGTAATTACAGTAAATTATACATATATATTATGTAAATTCACTACCGTTCAAATGTTTGGGGTCAGTTTTTTCATGTTTTTTAAAAACATTTTTTTATTTTAGAATTAATTTAAGGCGGCATTTATAAGGCGTTTAAAAACAACAATTCATTAAACTGTTAAATATTTATTAAAAATATAAATGGCTGCTTTCTTATTGTATGTAGGTTAAAATGAAAGTATTACTCCAGTCATTATTGATTTTATTACTATTAACATTAATAATAATAATAATAATAATAATAATAATAAAAATAATATTAAAGTGATTTCTGAAGGATGATGTGACTCTGAGTACTGGGGTAATGAAGCTGAAATTTCTTCTTTAAAAGCACTGGAATAAAGGATTAAATTAAATGATAAACTACTTTTGAACAGTTATTTTATAGTGCAAAAACATTTCACAAGTTTACAGTTTATACTGTATTTTTGATTAAATAAATTCAGCCTTGGTAAGCAGGATAAGCTTTTTTTAAAATCCTACTGACCCCAAACTTTTGACCGGTTGTCTATTATACCCCTAGATATGCTTTACGCTCGTCTAATGCTGGTCTTTTAACTGCTCAGTCAAGGCGGCTAATTGCATTTTCTTCATTGGCACTTAAATTGTGGAACTCTTTACCTGCTGATATTCGCAATGCAGAATCCCGAAGTATTTTTAAATCACTTCTTAAAACTTTTTTTTAGGGTATTATTTATTTTTGGTATTACTTTTTTTTTTTGCATTGTCCTTGTATTACCCTGTATTAAAATTAGGTGCATTGTTATTATTATTTATAGACAAAAGCATAATCTTAACCTTATAGCAGGAGCTTGTTTAATTAACTAATATTACTCAGTGCTTAAATATACAAAAAGGGCACCATAACATGAAGTGATCATTATTTAAATAATGAGTTTTTATGGTTTTTTTTTATTTAAAAGTTTAAGTAGAGGCTATGATTTTCAGTAAAACATGTTTTGTTAAATATACATTACATATAATATGCACATTCTCTTATTTCGAATTTGAAGTTGTATCTGTATGTATTGTGATAGTTAACTTTTTCATTATTTTTGCTTTTTGTTTAATTTTTTACCATCCACCTCACCTATAATCTGCCCACTGTATTCCTTAAAAATAGACAGAAACTTTAGAAGTGTGTGCTACAAAGAATAGTCCTAAAAATGTGGTTAACACATCATCAATGGATTATAACCACTGCATAATTGTTACTTAGTATCATTAAAATAATTTACGATTAGAATCCTTTTCAATAAAAATAAGCAACATCTCAAAAATAATACATTAAGCACGACAGACAATCTTTTTCTGACGCATTAACTTAGCATTGGACTCTTCTTGTTGCAGGACTCTTCGTCTATTATCAGTATGCAGATTTCCTCCAAACGGGTAAGAATACATCTTTTTTGAGAGGAGGGGAAATGTCAGCTATTTTTAAACAAGATCACAGGAGCACATGAAAGCAGCACATCAGTAAATCAAGCGGTGCTGTTCTTCTGTCTCTCTCCAGCAACAGCTGTATGTTGGCTCAGACACAGGTGTTGTCCAGGTGCCTCTGCACCGCTGCAGTATGTACGGTAAAGCTTGTGCCGAGTGCTGTTTGGCTCGAGATCCGTACTGCGCCTGGGACGGACACACCTGCACACGATACCTGCCAAACACCAAACGGTACAGATGCACTCATTGGAGTCTAAAATTCTGAGACATATTCAATATTAGTTTCATACTGTTAGACCACACTTGTGACTGACAGTCAAACCTGATGATGTGTTAAGTTTTTAAATATGCTTGTGTGTGTGTGTTTTTATGCGTGTAGGAGGTTCCGGCGTCAGGATGTGAGGAACGGAGATCCTAATGCCCTCTGCTCAGGAGGTAAAACTGCAGTACCGTCAACAGCCTCAAGGAGGAGACATTTCTCTGTTTTTAATATTTATTCACAATGGCAAATAAATGTGGTTCATAAAAGGACAGTTAACCCAAAAATACTGTCATTCAAACCTGTTTGAGTTTCTTTCTTTTGATGAACACAAAAGAAGATATTTTGAAGAATGTTGGAAACTGTTAGCCCCTGACTACAATAGTATTTTGGTTTCCTACGGTTGTCAGTTGCTCACTGAAAAAGTTTCTTTTGTGTTCAACGTAAGAATTAATCTTACAAAAGGTTGGAAGCTCTTATTTTAGGGGTTATTTTTAGGGTTAACTCTCACTTTATTTGATGGTTTACAAATGTGCTCATGAATATCTTAAAATGTTTTTTTCTGTTATAGGACAGTAAGATTAAAACAGAGTAGGGACACATTACTGTTCAAAACTCTGAACTTTTTTGTTTTATGTTGTATTCAGCAAGGATTTATTAATATGATTAAAGCTGAGAGTAAAAATTTTTACTTTGTTACAGATTTCTGATCCGTATAAATTTTTTGTGCTTTGTATTAAGAAATATAAATTCATTAGAAAAAAAGATTGCATCATTGTTTGCAAAAAAGCATTAACCTTAGCTGTTATGGCTGTTGAAAATCTTCATTATCAATAAAACTGAATTAAGGCTGTTTAAATGTTGATCTTTTAGAAAGGATCTTCACTTGTATCATTTAAAAAATAACAACTTTAGTTCATTTCACATTTATAAAAAACTTTTATTTAGGATTTTAATATTTCCTGTTTAGCATTTATCTGCCATTACATTCAAATAGTTATTGTCTTATTTATTAATTTATTTATTTTAAAATGGCTGCATCATCTTTGTTTTGTTTCTTACTATTTATTTTTGTTGTTTTACACCTAAAATATCTACAAAGTCTTAAATCAAAAAGCCATCAGAATTTTAAAAACAAAGTCATTTTTGTTTGCCTAAAATAACACAAATTATCTGTCAGGGTGCTCAAAAAGAGAAATTTAATTGAAACCCTGTAACTTTTTGGACTTTGTAATTTTTCATTGAGCCAGAATCATACATCATACTGATCAGTTTTTTAATAAACAGTTTGGTTTGTCTCTACTTCTCAAGTACACATTGTATATCTTGGTTTAAGTTGTTTGCACTGAAAAACAAAGTCTACATCTGATTTTACTGTCTATGCGGTTCATACAGTATATTTTGTTTACTTTTGTAAAGTGTTATGCACACACTCTTGATATTGAGAGTAAAATTTTAACTACATTTTATTAATGCTTTGAAGTGTAACGTTGTTCTTCATGCGTGTCCCACAGACCATCAGAAGCAGCGTGTCCTGGAGAAGAGGTTGTACGCTGTGGATGGAAGCAGCTCCTTCCTGGAATGCGTCCCGAAATCACTGCAGGCCCAGATTACATGGACCTATCAGAAGCTTCCGGAAAACCCACGGGAGGAGGTGAGAGGCAGGCTGGGGCAGATATGTGGGCTTATTATGAGAAAGACGGATATAGACAGCACTGATAACAGATGATAAATGTGTGTCTTTGTTTCAATTAATGACTTTCATTTTCTCTCTGCTATCAGTGCCATCGCTACTGATGCTTGATGCATTCATTGGGTGTGTGTTTGTGTGTAACAGGTGCGTCTGGATGAGCGTGTTCTGCAAACTGAGCGAGGGTTATTGCTGAGGCGAGCTGTGCGTAGAGACGCCGGTGTATATCAATGCCACTCTATGGAGCACGGATTCACCCAGACTATCCTGGCCATCACACTGGAGATTTTGCCTTCGGCTGGCTCCGCCCCTTCTGCTGTTAACCCCCGCAGCCCCGCCCACTCACATGTCAGTCATGGCCAGTCCACCAATCAAAAACTGTGGTACAGGGACTTTATGCAGTTGGTCGATCATCCAAACTTAAACACAGTCGACCAGATCTGTGAACAAGTGTGGTCGCGGAAGCACAGCCTATCAGGGAAGAGCCCACCAGATCCAGCCATCGAGGTGCCAGCTCATGATCCGCTGAACTCCAAAAAGTGGAAGCACCTAAAGGAAATGAGGAAGGGCCGAAATCGCCGAACACACGATGGCAAACCTGCATCCAGAGCACCGCGGAGCGCAGGAGAGTAGCGAAGGATAAAACTAAGAGACAGAAAGAACACAAAATAACCACTGGAGGTGGACAGATTCTCACACGACATCTCATTCGGTGACTGTTTATCACCCGTTCTGCTTCTTATGACCCCTGTGACGACACTCTACTGCCTGCTATTAGTCTCTATATACTCTATTGCCCTCATCTCCAGTCTGAAGACTCAATCTAGTGCCCTCACGACCCCAATCCCCATCCCGCCAGCATCTATTACCCCACACTCCATCCAGTTCATCTAAATACTAATACAAACTCGAGAGGTCCTGAACTCTAAAGTAAGTCCTTTTGAATTGTAGCTGGAAGATTGCTTTGATTGGATATTGAAGACATGAGACATGCATGCGCTGCATCGATCGGTAAACACAAGCTCACACTCACATCCAAGCATAGTCACCTGTTTTCTTCTGGGTGTTTGTGTAAGGTGTGTTCAGTAGATTAGATTCTTCTTTCACTTTGGCCCCAAAACAGAGAGCGGAGAGACTCCGGACTCACCAGCACCAGATGAACATCAGCACGCCTCTTCTTTCACTGCTTGAAGACTTAAAACGCACCATTTCAAACAAATATTTAAACAATGGCAAAGGAGGCAGACTGTACATTTTGATCGGGTAAGGTTGTAAGAATGTTAAAGTGTGTGTTTGTTCATGTCATGGAAGCATTAAAAGGTCAGCGAGCTTTAGAGTTCTGGCAGGTCTGCAACGTAACAAATGTAAATTATTATTTGAGTTGACGAGTTATGCTTCAGGTTTTTGGATTATGACTGAGATGGACACAGCATTAATGTACAGGGGCATTACGAGAGATATGAACACTTTTTAGACGCTGTTAGGTCTAAACTCACAACTAACCTGTGGAAATCAAAGTGCAGAATAGTTATGTATATTTGTGTGTCTGTGTAAGTAAGACTTTCCTGCTTTTTATACGGCTCAACTATATATTCACTCCAAAAAAAAGCATTCCCTGCAAACAATTTTGTGTTTAATAGACATCTAAACGTAGACAGCTTGGCTAAAACAAGACTAAACTTGGACTCTCAGTGAAAATCTTATAGACGTCAAAGAATAGCCTATATTTAGACTAGTCAAATAGACAGATTAGACAGACTGTGTGTGTAGTCATTCACTTCTGTCTATTTGATGGCTAGTCTAGTTTTGGTCTATTCTAAAATTTAGCCTTGTTTTAGCCAAGACGACTATGTTTAGACGTCTATTAGACATCTATTAGACAAAAAATGCTTGCTGGGTTCTTGCAGCATCCTGTACTGTTTCATGACAGTCTATTATGTATGCTAGTACATAATGGGTTAAATCAGAAAACAGATTCAAGGCCATCTCTGAAAACGAGATGAGAAAAATGTCCTTAGCTCTGACAATTCAGATGGATATTTAATATTACACATTTAAAGAGTCTACCCGTTTTTTTTTCATCGACTCTTTCTGGCTTTTGCACATAGCAGTGTTGAATTCCTCAGTAAATGCATGTTTACAAACGTTTGATGCCAAATTTCTTTCTGCAAATGGAAGTGAGTACTACATACTACACATATTACCACAGGAACTAAATATTCAAGGGGGAAAAACAATATGTTAGAGTTGTATAGTTATAGTTTCAAGCTGTGGTAACGATATCCACCACCACAAAAAGAAGAAATATGTGTGCTGCGTCCCGAATCGCATACTACCTGTCCTAAATAGTATTTGAAAATATAGTATGTCCCAAATCATAGTATGTTGAAAAGAGTTTGCCAAAGGTTTCTGGATGGTTTATTTAATAAAAAAAAATTATTGTTGTAGAATCATCCTTACTCTAACCGCTGATATTTCCCATAATCCATTGCGCATCGGGCGCGAATTCGATTAGAACTACAAACGCGGTAAGTGTTAAATAAACTACAAACTTGATGGACGCGCGAGACCAACCGTCAAGTAGACAGGATTCGGTACAGATGTTTGTATGATTGTTAATTATATTTATTTAAAGGCGTTTGGGCATTACCGTCTGAATTCAGAATTATCCTGAGACCTGAGGAGTTTTCTCCGCATGAAACACTTTCATGATTAACCTGCTACTGCTTTTCCAATAAGGTAGGAAGTTTAATATGACAGAAATGTGGATGATTGACAAGGCTTATAACTAAGCAACACAACGATCTGGTAACGAGGTAGTGTGTCCCAAAGCTTGCATAGGCTACTCTTTTGTTATAGACTCAAACTTATATACTTTTTTACTTCTTAAGAAAAAATAATGGGCTTAGTATAAGGATGCGAATTGGGACGCAGCAAGATGTTTGATTATTGGCACCCCGAGCTGTGTGGTTTTGGGCGCCATCTTCTGGCGTTTGTGGGTATTTCTGGTTTCTCCTGTGTCAGGTTGAGGGAAACCTGTCACTGTAAGAATAATCAGTTCTGAATCATTTCCTAAACAGATGTCAGAATGTTTGGAGTGGAGCTGGTGGATTATTGCGTGGTAGTATTTATATGTTTTCTAAAAGTTGTACTTAATGGTTATTTTTGCATGACTTAAAACGTCTTGATGAGCGTTTTTGTTTTTTACAATGGAAAGACCATGTTTTAAAAACTGTCCTGCGAGATTATCTGGTGTTTCATTGTATATTTATGGCTCGATAAGCTAATGTGTTGTGGTGGTTTGTGATAAAAACTGACCTACATGTGTAATGTCCATTTTGATAGAGGAGACTATAAGAGCATCCTTGTGTGTATATTTTGAAAGTCTTTGCATTCTTTTGAGTACATGTTTAAGCCTAACACTACATTCAAAAGTCACTTTTTGGGTCATTTTAAAATTATTCGAACAGCATTTCCATTCATCTGATCTTTCTACTTTCATGACGCTTCTCAGTTTCTGGGAGACAGCGTATGTGTGTGTGTATGTGTGTCATTGTGAGAGAGGCTCTGTGTGTGCCTGTGTGTGTTTCTGGCATTAAATATTCAGATTTCTGTACATGGGGAAAAGAGTTTCATTTTGTGGACAAGTCAAAGGTCAAAGGCCAAAGTTGACGTGAACACTGTATTACTCCCTGAGTATTTTCTCTGTGGGTTGTTGCATCAAAATGTAAATGATTAACACATTAAAACATACAGTTGCAGATGTACTGCTTTTCCGTTTTATTTTTGAAAGAGCGTTGTGTGCGCGTCTTTGTGTGTCAAAGACTGTAAAAAAAAACGTCTGTGTGTGTAAAAGTAGGATAGTAGTAGTAGCGCAATTCCGCCACACGAGTGCGCTGTTGTGCATGATAAGCTTTGCGCTTGTTGATGCGGTGTTGGTAAGTTTTCAAGTCTCTTCTTTAAGAACGACATCAAAAGACCACACACATTCCCTCTGTTATTAGCCAGAGAAATAATTTAAAAACCATATAGAAATCTCAACGTTTCCACGCGGTTTCCATTCTGTCTTTCTGTGACAGCTATAGTGATGATTAATGATGCCAATTAGGACTAATTAACCCTTCATTAGCTTCTAACCCCGCGGACTCTCATTAGAAGTGTTGACTTAAGGTTTTCAGTGTCTGCCTCACCTATATGTTCATATTTATTTTTTGTGTTTCTTTTCCCTCACTCAGCCGTCAGACTGTTTAAGTGAGGAGGCTGAAAAAACAAACCTTGACGTCGGAAGAAAAGAGACAAGATGAGTGGAGAATGATGAGCTTGTACAAGTGGCTTAGAAAAACACATCCTCCCCGAACCACGAAAATGAGTTCATTAAGCATTAATTAGGCTTTAGAAAATATCATAATGTTGATATAATAATTACAAGGCTGGGAAAACCAGTTTAGTGCAAACTATGCAGTAGGCCCCTTTGCAAAAAGATGACGGTGCCCCTCACTGTATAAACAAAACTGTGTGTTAGTGCCATCATATAGTTTATTTATAAGAATTGACTGTTTTATTATTATTGTTATTTTTTTACTAATGAGAATACAATGAAATCCTGCTTCTTTTTTTACATTTAAGAAAAGAATCTCTTTAAAAATGTCATTTTCTGCACAAAGTTTACAATGTCTGAAACGCTCATCTGACGCATGCGCTGGCTTTCAGTGCTGATAATAACAAGTTTAAGAAATATCTTCTGGCTGGTTGAGGTTAATAGACTGATTATTATTCACTACTGATTATTGGAAGCATGGTAGCAGGCTTTGTCCATGGGACAGTCTATCAGAAACAAACATGATCTGTTCCTGAAATAAAGACATAATTAGTGAATACAAAGTTTTTCATCCCAAAAAAAATGTCTAAAATGGACTGGTTGATTTCTGGGAGTTGTTCTGTAAAGGAATATGCCATTCATTTGCTTCTCAGATTTTTCTCTATTAAAAACACTACAAATTGGTAAACCCTGTCATTGTCCTTATCCTCAGCCCAATTAAACCTGCTGTATTCATTTTTGTTATGCTGAAAACTGCTATGTAGTAGAAAAGAAAAACTTCAGAAATAGCGTTTAAGTTGTTATCATTCACATCAATTGATTAAAAACATGAAATTATAAATAAATTCTACAAATAAATACTAAAAATATAGAACACAAATAACGTGACAATTGCCCCCTTGTTTCTGTCAGTCCTGTAAAATTAGCTTAAAATATAACACAAAATGTGTGCACTACACCTTTAAAGCTATGACTTGGACATCATTTGAATGAGGAGAAGCTGACAGTGATCAAGCATGCGTTCTGTCATTGAATTGTATGACTTTATGCTTCTTTTGTATGATTTTTTTTTAAGCATAAAGGTTAGCCCCTATCACATTTTTCACAAGTGACAAGTGAAATGTACGTTTCTGGTAGAATGTCCCATTTATAATTGGTTAACATATAATTGGGACCCACTTCCCTTCTTCCAGCTTAATGCTGCCCTATTTAACACACCCTTATAACGTCTATAATCAACAAACTGAACAAAACACAAACAAGAAATACTCATTTTCCTTCTGCTTTTTCAGTGGAAGTGCACTAACTTGTGAACCCCCAATTACTCTCCTGCCGATTTAGTTTTTTTCTGTAAAAATTTGCAGTGGAGCTGAGCATATCAAGTTTTTTAAAATCCTCCCTAGACAAGAATATGTGTTGAATATTTTTAGGAGAAATTTGATGAAATGATTTGATCCACTTTAATTGTTGACTACTGCATTTCACATGTGTTTGGACTGTAGGGGAAACCAGAGCAAACTTGAGAAAAACATCCAAACTCCACACAGAAAGGCCTTCTGGTTTAGCCAGGACTTGGCCTAGTGACCTACTTGCCGTGAGCAACAGTGCTAACCACTGAGCCACTGTGTAATTGCCTTTATAGTGAGAGAAAATGCAGGGTTCCACACAATTCCTTCATGTTGTTCCAACACAAATGGATTAAGTTAACTTGATGGTTTTTTTTACAAATTAAGTGGATTGAACAAAAAACAATTAACGTGTCCCTCAAAAAACCTCAAAAGTCATGAAATAAGTCTTTTTTTGAGAGTGATTCATCATACAGCAAACTTTAATTATTGGGTGAACTTTTCAAACCCCTGAACTGTCTGTATGAAGCTGCACTCTTCAAAGGCTTTTTGTTTTTCTTTTTATTCAATAGTTCCAGTCCCCAAAATACTCTGTATATGAACGTGTATATGTTATTGAAATGTAATTAACACAAAGAAACATTCTCCTTTTTATAAATGTTGACTGAATAGTTCTTTGAAGCACCAAGATATAGTTCTAAAAGCAGTGCCTGTTTCTGTAAGCTAATGTTTATTTCTACACAGCTGCACAGCTCAGGTATGTCTGGACCTTGAGGGTGTTTGTCCATGTTTCTAAACAGGAAGTTGGCCATTGGCTAGCATCAGTGATGACAGTTCCTGCAGCTGCTCCATTTCACTGTTTACATCACTTATATACACTTCCGCAGCCTTCACTTAATGACTGTGTTTGCTAAGCTTTCTTGAGTTGGTGCACTTCAGATAAATGTGAGACTCTGATGGAACAGGATACAGTGAGAAACACTTGGAGTGATGTGAGCAAGTGAAGTTTAATCTGTTTTACTTATTTAATGAATAAAAAAATGAGTCCTCTTATAGGAAAAATGTTGTGTTTTGAGGAAGAGTTTTGACTCGTATTCCCAGTATGTGCTCTGGCTCCAAACAGAACATGATATATGACAAATTTTGGCACTTTGATAAAAATACTAGCCTCTTGTATGAAGAGCAGTAACGGTTAATGGTTTCAAATCAATCAGTCTTTATGTTCACATACGTGACATTTTTACTCACTGACAAATAAAACAACGCATTGGCAAACAGTAAAGCAAGGCATAAATATACAGCATCAGTTGACATTCCCTGTAAAATAGACAGTGGATGTTTTTAGTTATTCAGAGGTCACATTCAATCACTTTGATCAGCTGCATTCACGTTGAGTTCTCTGTAGGAAGAGGCATAAAGAGGTAATTGTTTGACTCCTTTCCCTCTTGAAAAGTTATTGTAACAATAAACTGGCTGCATTTCAAACACATGGGGGAAGAAATGTAGTGCTTTCAATGCTTTATGCTACTGCCAAAGTCAAATGATTCCCATGTACTTGAACACCGGTGAATCTGAGGTTAAAAGATGTTTAGACGCATCTTTTTTTTCGGTAACCACTGCATTTATGTGAATTCTTGATGACTATTATAAGAGAAAGGCTAAGGATTTCATTTATTTACTTTTATTCTCAGTTACTAATTAAATCTGTTTAAAGCTTGGCATACTTAGAAAAATGTTCATAAAACTGCACATGGCCTTTAACAATTTTTATTTAATTTGCATGACTTTTCCAGGCCTAGAATTCACACTTTTTAATTGTGCTTTCAGATTTATTACCAAGACCTCATTCTTCAGTTAGAAAAAAAAAGATCATTGCCTGATTGAATCTTTACTGTGAAGCTGCACTGAACAAGTAAACAATTAGTTTCTAACTTACATTTTGAAGTGAACAATTCATTGTAACTTACTGTATGTTGCATTAAACTGACTTAAACGGTTAAACTTTGAGAAAGGTTTAATCTAAGTTATGAGAAGTTAAACTTAAATAAAAATAGTTTATGGCTTGATTGAAGTTTTTAAACAGTAAAGGTTCTACACTTGCTTTATTATCATTTACTTTGTCACACTTGTAAGCCCTTGTTTGTTTTTGCTTCTTCTTTAATCATGGCTGATTTGGTTTCTACAACTGGTGGGAGAAATTACAGTTTTCAAAGCTCCAAAACAACTGAATCAGACGTTTTGCAATATGGTTGACCAGAACACCTGTTGATCAACAGTGTAAAATGCAACACAGACTCAGGTGAAGCATGCATTAAAATGGGCTTTTAAAATGGGCATTGTAGTGGACATTGGCTAAACAGGACAGGACTATTCCTTTTTGTTTTTCAAATGTTTCATTAAATCATCTACAAACTTGTAAAAACTGATCCAAGATCTGGTAAAAACTATGGCATCAGTGATGGGGCAATCTGAGTGAACCCGCATGATTCACCTGGATTTTATATTGGATTTAACCAATGAATTTCCAAAATATTTTGAAACAGTAATGAATTTATTAATGAAGCGCTGTTTACTGAAATCACATGACCTTACAAATGTGATGCATGCCCCGAACCACTGATTTGAATTAAAATGTTAATATTAGTACAAAACATATATCTTTATATACAGTTGAAGTCAGAATTATTAGTCCCCCTTTGATTTTTTTTTTCTTTTTTTAAATATTTCCCAAATAATGTTTCACAGTATGTCTGATAATATTTTTTCTTCTGTTTTTATTCGACTTGAATAAATTCAGTTTTTAATTTTTTAAAAACCATTTTGACAAAATTAATACCCCCTGTAAGCTATAATCTTTTTGATTTTTTTTTGTCTACAGAACAAACCATCATGATACAATAACTTGGCTAATAACCCTAAACTGCCCAGTTAACCTAATTAACCTAGTTAAACCTTTAAATGTCACTTTAAGCTTTATAGAAGTGTCTTGATAAATATCTAGTCAAATATTATGTGCTGTCATCATGGCAAAGATAAAATAAATCATTTATTATAAATAAGTTATTAAAACTATTATGTTTAGAAATTATATGAAAAATAAAAA